TGTCTCAACACAGACGGCTACTTTCACACACCGATGTGAGGTGGCTGTCAAGAGGCAAAGCACTTACCCGTGTACATGAGTTACGACAAGAACTTATCACATTTTTTGAAGCAATGAAACAATCTCATTTTTGTAACCTCCTTCAATGTGAATTTTGGATTACAAAGTTACAATATTTGGCATCTATTTTTCAGTATCTCAATATTTTGAACTCTAGCATGCAAGGGAAAGAGGAAAATATCCTCACATCCACTGATAAAATAAAAGCATTTCAGAGAAAGCTACAGATTTGGAAAAGAATATCGATGGAAGGCAGTCTCGAAATGTTTCCATTGGTAAGTAATAATTGCAAAACTGAAATTCTGCCAATGATAGTTGAACATTTATCAACTTTAGAAAAAATTTGAGTTATTATTTACCATCAATTAACACTGCGCAATATGACTGGATTAGAAACCCTTTTGTAGAAACTGCAATAGATTCTAGTTTAACGCTAACAGAAAAAGAAGAACTGGCAGCTGTGTCCACTGATCGTGGATTGATGATTAAATACAAAGAGTTGTCTCTTTAAGCATTTTGGATTTCTATCAAAGAAGAACATGTGTCGATATCTAAAAAAGCGCTGGCCATTTTATTGCAATTTTCCACCTCATATTTATGTGAACTGGGATTTTCAACCCTTGCCACAATTAAATGTAAAAAGAGAGGAACTCTTCAATGCATTGATGAGGTAATGAGAGTTTGTCTCTCAAACATAAGACCAAATATTGAAGAAATCGCAAGGTCGCATCAAGCTCATGTTTTTCATTAACACACGAATGAATAAACTTCATAGAGGTTTATTAAGTTTGGTTTTATTAAATGCATTATTTTTCTATATATTTAACTTAATTATAACATATTAGTCCTATTTTGTATGCAGTGCGCCAGCAAGCATCTGTAGTATTGTAAGTGCGCTCAGACTGTATAAAGTTTGAGAACCACTGCCGTAGACAACAAGGACGATCATGACACACTTTTAAAGAACAGTTGCTCACTGTTCTTCAAACATCATAACACGGAACCTGCCAAAACACCAGCCAAACAAATATTGCAATGTTACAACTGCCAAAAGTTCGGACACAGTAAACCATACTGCACGGCCCCCGCTAAATGTGTACGATGTGACGGCCGCACGAGGTCTCTATCTGTCCAAATGAACGCTCACAGGTCACCTGTGCTAACTACCAGGGACACCACGCTGCTTGTTACAGGGCTTGTCCCAAATTCACACAAGTAAGAAATAGAGTCCTATTTCAAATTAGAAGCCCCCCCTCCCACTACAACCAACACAGATTATCCTACACTACCCACACATCAGCCATTATTAGAAACACCATCTGCAGTACAAAAACCACAGGCCTCAAACCCAACAACATCTGCAACAAAATCATACTCGAAAGCATTAGAAGCACACACGCTTCAGCAAGACATAACTTCCTTTAACCCCGCTGAGTTTGCAGTTAATCTGCTGTCCATGCTGGTCGAGATCAGTGAATATCCCGCCTTTTCGTCATGCCCAGAGTGCTTAGAAGCCCTCTGTACAATTGCCAAACGCCATTTTTCACTTCCAAACTTAAAACCTCATCACATTACCCTTAGAATAGCATGGTGAACACCACAAACAAACCAAATATAGAGACAATAAAAATTCTACACATAAATTGTCAAGGTGACCTTATCACAAAAAACTAGAAATACACAATCTCAATAAACACGTTAATGCAGATATCGTGATAATCTCAGAAACACTAGCCAAAAAGAACAACAATGTTAACATTCCAGGATCTAAATCATTCTCACTCCCGTATACAAATAACAATAGAGGTATAGTTTTATACTGTAAAAACAATTTAACAAATAGCATTTCTATTGAAGAAAATTTTCCTCAAACATAATTGAAAATATTTTCTGCAATATCTATATCAACAATAGAATAACTATACCATCAGTAACTATCTATTGTTCTCCATCCAAAGATTTAGATATAAACTTTCTGCAAACATGTTTATCAAGAAAACCTAAGCCTATAATTATAGGCGATTTCAACTCCCCATACAAAGATTTAAACGGAACAAGAAACACGTCCAGAGGCACATTAATCCCAGATTTACTCAACAGCAACAACATGCTAATCATGAACGACCACACTCCCACTCTCCAACAAACACGTACGATCTCTTAGATCTTATCACAGTCCTGTATGAGCTAAAAAATAAGATCACTAACTTTACAGTCCATCAAGAAATTTCCAGCGATCACTTCCCCATCTCATGCGTAATACATACACGAAGACCTCCCGCACCACAACTCCCACCAGTATACAACTACACAAAAACTGATTGAGAAAAATTTAATGAAACACAAACAGTCTACTACCTCCACTAATCAATACCAAACAGGACTTAGACACACACGTCAATAATATCACACAAGCCATTAACACAGCTATAACTGAAACCACCCCTTCAGCAGCAAGACAAAACTCACAATCTTACAATCATTGGAAACTAACTCCAGAAATTCATAAATTAATTTTAGAACGTAGATGACTAAGACAGCATTTCACCTCAAGAAATCCTATTATCAAAACACAAATTAATAGACTCAACACACAAATAAAAAATAACATTAAAATACTCAAAGAAACAAACTGGCTTGACTTTTGCAATAATCTAGAGAACAACAAAAACAAACCCAAAGAATTCTGGAAAAAATTCAAGACACTCTTCTAACAAAAACAACAACCAATTTTTCCAACCAATCTCACACAACAATGTTACAGCCAAAACAGACATAAAGCACATCTACTCGCTGATTACTATAAATCATCGTTCAGCAATCTCCACTCACCCAACTTGGATCATAATCACAAATCACACATTGACAACTTCATTAACTCTCACCCCTCACTTTTCACTCCAACTTTCCCAGCATCTTACACACGAGCACATAATCACCAACCTTCATAATTCAATTAACAGAAATATCACCAACTCAGAACTAAAAATCAATATCAAGTCACCCAAAAACTCTGCTCCAGGCCATGCTGGAATAAGAAACAGTTTTGAAAAAAGCCTCTAACCTTTTCATAGATCACTTGAAACACATCATGAATTTATCCTTACGAAGCGGGTACTACCCTGACTCTTGGAAAGTAGCAATAGTTACTGTAATCCCCAAAAAACAAACCAACAGATCTAATCCGGATAACTTCCGGCCCATCAGTTTATTAAGCTGCCTCGGCAAACTGCTAGAAAAAATAATTTCGGCTAGACTTTTAAACTTCTGTGAAACAAACAACTTGTTGTCACAATTCCAAAATGCTTCAAGAAAAAATAGACAAACCATAGATCACTTAACAAGGCTAACAGAATCAATTTATAAATCTTTCAATAAAAACCAAGCCACTATAGGCATATTTTTAGACGTTAAAAAAAGCCTTTGACAGTGTTTGGCATAATGCCATCAAATACAAATTACACACACTAAATATCAATAACACCCTAACTTGATGGATATCCAATTTTTTAACAAATAGATCCGCAAAAGTAAATGACACTTTATCCAAAATTTTTAATATAACAGCATGTGTTCCCCCAAGGATCAGTCCTTTCACCCCTGCTATACATTCTCTTTGTTAATGATATTCCTTTCCCCAAACAAACATACACCTATCACCCCTAATACGCTGATGACATCGCCATTTGGAGTATTTCCAGAAATCCTGTCATTGCTACTACACGTGTACAAAAAACACTAGATTGAATCCTGTCATGGTGCAACAAATGGAGAGTAACATTAAACCCTACAAAAACCCAAGCAATAGCCTTTCACAGAAAATTAAGAAACACAAAATCACTCTTAAGAAAATCAAACTAACACTAGGAGGCACCCAGATACAAATTAGCAATAATATCACCCTCGACATGGATTCCTGTAAGTTATGAGGGGGATCTCCCAGGGAAGGTTCTGTATTTCCAGTTACTTTCTCTGGGATCTAAACATCCACCCACGTGTTTGCCGTGCGTTGCGACCCGTGAAGGTGGTTGAGTGGTGTCTGGGGCACTGCAACACACCACTTT